AGTCCAAAACCTGGGGCATGTCACTCCGGGGCCTCTTCACCAAAGGCGCTTGTTGGGGGAGGTTTATGGAATAAGCCCACACGGTTTAGGGTTTAGGGTTTAACCCTAAACCCCAAACCCTAAACCGCAGAACCCCTTCTTGCAGTATTCATGCTGAGAACTGAGGCTCGCAAAGTCTGTGCTGTAAGTCCCTAAACGCTCGAGCCAGACCCCCCCCCCAACTCATGTAGGCTAAACTCCTTAAAGGGGGNNGGGAGTTATATAGGATATTATATAGGGTTTAGGGTTTGGGGATTAGGGTTTAGGGTCTAAACTTCTTGAAGGGTGTTATATAGGGGATTGATTATATAGGGGAGTACTATAGAGGCTATTAAGGGGGATACTAGGAGTTTTAGACTATAGCTCAAATACTTACCAACACTCTTCCCTTATCACCCTTGTATATCACTGTAGTAGAATTGTCCCCAACAATAGTCTACTTGCTCAGGCCCCCACATTACACAGGGCCCTCCGTAACCCAGGATTCGTTCAGCTGGTGCGGGTTCGCTCTTCCTGCTTTTTCTTGGCCTCTGCGGAGTTGCGTTCCTCAGCATGCAATATGCTTGTAGGGTTTAGGTTAGGTGGACCCCCCAACCAGAAATAGTGTATATAAGGGAAGGACTATATTAGGGTTCTCTTATATTCCTAGTCTTATATTCCTAGTAGTATATTCCTAGTCGACCACTATTACAGGGTGGGGGATACTAGCGTACGGCTACCAAGTTAGCTCAGGGAAGACATGGGCTTCCTCATGGCAATTCAGCGTGGTCCTTCAGATGTACTGACGGATTTGGGGATTACGGTATTCCTCAAACAAGGACTTGTGCGCCAACGTCTTGCAATTCAGCTGAGCATTTATTTATGAGTCATATGGACTGAATATGAGAGCTACCACAGCAGGGCCTGCAGTGTTAGGATGCATGCGCTCCCAAAAAATCTTTTGACCAACCACAAAATACTACATAGTCCTCCCTGTAGGAACCACCCAATAATTTTCAATTCGCATGCAATTACTTCCCAAAGGGGAGTCTAGTGCAACAGTAAGGACAAAATAGCAAAGTCCGCCTGGCTACCCGCAAATATCTGGGTTTCAGTCTAAAAGGTCTTTGGTTTGACCTCTGGACTAGAGCACCTGTCAGTTTACTACAATTTCAGAGTCTTTTCTTATCGTGCGTAATTTGTCCTTTGGGATCACCCCTGCCCGCAACCGTGGCCCTAAGCCCCGTGGCGCAACATAGGATGCTGTTCAGGTATTGGTCGGACTACAAGCCTCTCGACGGAAAGATGCAATCACCGTAATGCATGTGGGAGACTGCCAATGGGGTCTCCGGTTTACAGAACAAGCCCTAGAGACAATCTTGGAAAATCTTTGAGAAGTATTTGACCATCGCTGACAATGTCTTCTCCGCGCGGAGTCCTTTCAGCCCCTGCCTTTCAACCTACTTGTAGATTTTTGTTTTGAGGTTGACGCCTGAGAGACGCTTTACAGAGCACTGCGGGGTTATGGCCTTCGATTTTTTTGTCCATGTAGTGAGACCTCTGCAGTTGCATCGATGGAATTTCGCAAAACAAGGGCCCTGTCAAAAAAATCAAGCCATGTGGAGCTTTCTGCGTAAGCCTATTGCCGAATTTTGAGACACTTCCATATATCAAAGCTATAGAATTCAACCCTAAGGTTGTTCCCCAGGTTCAAGCGGAGCGTTTAGGGAATCTTGTGGGACTTTCAGGCTCATGACTTCTCCATGTAGAGTACCGAGGAGGTCGGGACATGCAGGGCACACCCTGCTTCCTCAACCCTGCGGCATAAGCCCTAATCCGAGATCGAAATGCAGCCCTAAGTGCCCCGAATATCCAGTTATCCAGTCAGCTGGAAGCCTGAAAAGAAGGATCTGCATACGAAGGGCCTGAATTGCAGGAGATGATTTCAGTGCATATTATCGCGGCACATCACTTCCTAGCGCAGAAAGGGCAGTAGGGGGAATCTAGGTGCCAACAGGGTACATGAATAGCAAATAAAGGTGTGATGTAAGGATAGTTATTGGGATCCACCGCCCCCACCCGCCTTACAGTGCGCACCAGTAAGCTCACGGAGGTATGGGGCAAACTGGGGCTATAGTTCTCCAGCAAGTGCTTACGAATTCCTGAGCCCCGAGACACCTTGACTTTATGAAGGGGCAGCTCCAACCCCTCATCAAGCGGGGGGCCTGGACAGGGGCTCCTGGAGGACGGCAGACCTTTTCAGACATTGTGCAGTGCAAGCACTAAACCTCAACCTTTAACCCTAGACCAGACCAACCCCTAACCTCTGAATACTATACCCTAAACCCAACCCTCACAAGTACTACTGGCGGCCCACTCAGGTCAATGGGGCAAAGCATGGACAGCGCTGCTTGGGACCCAGGGCTGGAGTTTCCGAACATCAGCCGTAGCGGGGATACAGACTTCAAACAGCTTGATAGATGGAAAGAGTAGGAGGGTCAAAAAGCAAGAGTCCCTAAACCCCTAAACCCTTAACCCTAAATAGTAGTTTCGATTTTATTTTCCGTTATCCCTATATATAACCCTAGTTTTACCCCTAATAGTACCCCAAAAGGTACTTCCGAAACGCAGGGTTTCCTCTCGGTGGACCAACAGGATGGCGGGCGAGAATTCCCAATGCTACTTATAATGGAGATCATTCAAGTTACCATGTAAGTTATAGGGGTAGTAATAATGGAAGAGAACATGGAAATTACCAGATTTTTTTCGGGTTTAGCTTTGACATTTGCACGATTGAAGGATGTACGGACCCCAACATTGGCAAATAGCGGGTTCCCCAAAAAAGTGGGGTCCTTGTTTGGTGAGCTTGATAAAGAGTTCCTACAAAAGGCCGAAGGGATTTCAGGTTGGAAAAGATGCTCCTTGAGCCTGATGAGACCCTAAACCCCTCATGTAGACCCATGACTAACTTTTAGGGGCCTTAATATTAGGATCCCCATTATAGTCCCTATTGAGGGGTGGGGATTTATTAATCAGGGGTCTACATTACACCTTAAACCCCTAAACCCTGAACCCTCAACCCTAAAATTCAGACCTGCCGGCACCGGCAGCGATGGCAACCTTTATGTTTGGCGTCCCATAGAATATTATGGATATGTTGGGACTAGACGGGGATATTGGAAAAGAAAATGGAAGCTACTATAATGGGTCATATATGGTTTAGCGTTTTAGGGTTCCAGTAAAATCAACCAACATGATGTTGATATACAGCACAAAACGTTCGTGCCTGTAACGCGAGGCTGGTTTTGGTCTCTGCAACATACAATACGGTTGCATGTGTACTCATGTGCCTTCTGTAGTTCGAAAGCTGTGAAGGCCCAAGAACGATTACATTCCAGCCCATCATGGTGTTTTGTCGGGGATCCCATTTGAACTCTACTGAGTAAACGGGACCAACAATCCACGGAGTCCGCCACTTGAACCCTAAACCCTAGACTCTAGACACTCGTAACCATGAAGCCTACGCATGCCCTAGACCCTAGATACCGTCATTAGTTTCCATTTGATTTTCCATGTTCTTTTCCAGTGATGTTCTATTTTGGGGCCAATATCCCTAGATCTTGAGTCCTCAGCCCAGGATAAGTTCCTACCCCCTAAGCCCTGAACCCTAAACCCTAAACCTTACACCCTAAACCCTAAACCCCAAACCCTCCGCCAAGGATCGTGCAGCTCCCATTGGCAGGCGGTTGCATGAGCATGCTGCTTGCTCGTGCTCAGGAGCGGAGCGGGAGAGTGGCTAATGTTTGTGTTGGTACCCAATGATATAGGGATAATGGAAAAGAAAATGGAAACTACCATAATTTTATTTGGGGGATCCTATGGTACCCAATAATACAGGGTTTAGGGCCCTATAATGGAGAATCAAATGGAAAAGAAAATGGAAAATGAAATATATAGGGTTATATAGGGCTTATATAGGGCTTATATAGGGGTTATATTGGGGTTATATTGGGGTTATATTGGGATAATGGAAAAGAAAATGGAAACTACTATAATGGGTTATATATATATATAGCATTTCAGGCCCTATAATGGAGAATCAAATGGAAAAGAAAATGGAAAATGAAATGGAAACTGGGAATGGTCATTTTAGGATTTGGTTCAAGATGCAGGTACTCGTCTCGGGTTTTTCTTTCAGCTTTGCTGGGGGCGTTGCACGTCCACTCCTTCACCTGCCGTTCACCAACCCTAAACCCTAAACCCTGAACCCTATACCCTAAACCCTAAATCCTTAATCCTAAACCCTAAGCCCTAAACCCAAAACCCTAAGCCCTAAACCCACCATTGAGGTCGCGCACGTCGTTGGCGATGACGACTCGTCACTTCCGCGGACTCCCGGCGACGACGGCATGAGCATGGATGGTCAACTCGTCAGAGTGATTATTGTTATTATAGCTATCATCACTACTATTATTACTACTATTTCTATTATTACTATTATTACTATGAAAAACTATTATTACTATTATTACTATTATTGCTAGTATTACTACTACTACTACTACTATTTCTACTATTATTATTCCTGTTATTAGTATGTTAGTATTACTACTATTTCTACTATTGTTATTGTTATTATCAGTATTATTTCTATTATTATTGCTATTATTATTATTATTACTACTATTCCTATTATTACTAGGGTACTCAGACAGTAGTCCTCCCGTAGTCGCCATACCGACGATGCCCACCTGCCAAGATCCTTTCAGTGTTTCAGGCCTTTGCAGTATTTGAAGGGATGTCTTCACAGAGTCCCAAGTTTAGGAAACCTAGGTGTTGTCAAACACAAGGTACAACTTATACACCCCAAAGTATTACAATCCCTACTTGAAGGATTCTCCCCAAAAAGACGACGAACCTTAGGATTGCATACAAAGGGGGTTTCCCTGCTCTGACAAACAAGGTGATGCTGGCTTCCTTGCACCAGAGTACCGGCACTATGATAGTGGCATGAGTGGTGACGCATATGTGCATGGAGATGCTGGCTCCCTGCTATCAGGATACTCGCATGAGGAGGGTTTAGGGCCCTATAATGGAGAATCAAATGGAAAAGAAAATGGAAAATGAAATATATAGGGTTATATGGGGCTTATATAGGGCTTATATTGTGGTGATGACGCCTCTGGGTACCAATACCAAGGCGGTTCCATGGACGATGCCTATGCTTCCGGCCATCACGTCGTTGTTGGTGGTGATGCTAGCTCACTGCCACCCGGCTACACTTACCATGGTGGGCAATATTACCATGATGGGCACGTTGTGAGTGTAGATGCGATCCCCGGCTACCAGTACCATGACGATTCTGCGTACGCGATGGGTGGTGGCTCGTAT